ATATATAATAAAAATAACTGGAGATGTGCTCAGCATAGATCCTTTGAACATGACGATGCTATCTCATATGGAGGAATTATTCCTCTCAATGAAACAGTATTTAAAACACAAAAGGTGCTGTATTGTAGCTAAACTCCTTTTTGCTACATCCACCAGTATTGGATATATCTTCATAAATATTTATGCTGTTTTTTCCCTAGATAACAAAGCCGCTAATCTTACACAGGGCTTCTCTGAAATGAACGTGGAGCTGCCTGGAGAATTCAGCAATGTAGAAAATGAATCCAAGGTTTGAGACAATCTCTTAAATCCCTCTTTTTGATATCTGGGTGTGTGAGGTCTTCATCCCTGTAATGACATTTATCATGCAAGGATATGTGAGATGTCTGTGTGTCTCATGAAGTTTTTGAGTTGTCTGATCAACTGGAATGTTTCAGAGACTATTTTAACCTTGGAGGTCAGAAACTTACCAATACTGAAAGGTGTGGTGGATGCAAAACAGGCATAATACCTTTGATGTTATCCACACATCAGTGCATCTGCTTATCTTCCTGATACAGGCGAAATGTTTGGCATTTTCTTAAGTTGTGTGTTTTGGAGGTGGCAGCAGAATGCACAAGACACAGAGACAAACATAGCTTCACAGTTTTCTCTTTCTGGATCTGGCTTAGAAAAAGCTTCAGGGCATCTTGAAATTAAAAGCAATAAGGGGTGGCATGCAAAGACCTTGTGAGAAGGATAACAGGAAGGCAAGAGTTTTTAGTAAGCTATTGCAGGTGTGTAACCATCTTCCTCAATAACCAGAGGTCTTGGTACAGGAGAAAAGATCCCTTTTGTGAAATCCCTTCTTAGAAGCCTTATGTGCACTCTTTAACCCTGTACAACAGTGTAACCACTGAATTCTCCCTCTGGCTTTTTCTGTCTGATAAGCATGGATATTGAGGGATCAAGTTGCTCCATATGTTTATAGCTATTTGATTTCTTGAAGTTCTGTGCTATAACAATTTTTTTCATGACCTGATGTTTAGACTACTGCAGTAAAATTACTTCTTGCTGCTGCTGAAGGAGCTTGAGTGCTGCCTTCATTGTGTTCTACTAAAATGCACAAAAATAAGTGTTTGTTGCTCTCTAGTGAGCAGAAAGGAACTGGACTAGTGGGAATTTTTGATTTCAACTCAAGGTTGGACTTGAAGAGCTGGTACTTGAAATTTTGGTGACTTTCCGGTTTTTAAAATGTTCTTTCTCAAGAGTGGGAGGTAATCTTTAAGTCTTAGCAAAACTGGTAGTGTGGCAGGTTTATGCACTTGTGAGATCCCTGTTCTGCTTGCATCCCTTTCCAGTGGATCCGTATGAACCACCTGCTCCAGGTATTCATCACTACTCTCAAAAAGAAAACAACTTAGATGTCTAACATCCTATAGTTTCACTGTGAATTCTCTGCCATCTGAAGTTAAAATATTGTTAAAATATGAAGTTAAAATATTGGAAACATTTGGGGGCTTTTATCCCCACCACCAATTCAGACTGCAGAGTTTGGCTGCTGAATCCTGCCTTTTAGATACAGATGACCAACCCAGCTGCTAAACCTTTCTTCTACAGTTTGATAGCATGGTGACAAGAGTACTCCTGAGGCTTCACCCATGTCTTTTCACACAGGGAGGCACCATTGAGTTCCAGCTTTTCAAAAGTAACCCACAGTCTTAGGTGCCTCTACTTTTTGGATACCAATTTTGAGACATGTTAAGGAAATGTGAGTAAGTTGAATAAATTCATTGAGGCTGTAAGTTTTTTCCTCTTCTTTCTACAGAAGATGGCAATCTACAAAATGGATGGGCCACACAGAGGATTTTGTCTTGTCATTAATAATGTTAAGTTTGGTAGATCTCTTCTGGAAAGGAAGGGTTCTCACAAAGATGCCGGTAAGTTACTGAAGTGAGATTTTTGGAGGATTAGTCTGTTTCCCCATGTGAGTTAATTGTCTAGTATTGCTCTATATTTTATTGTCCATGTTTTAGTTAATATTCTGAAAGAGTAAAATGTTTTATATGTATTAAATTATGTAATTTGTGTATCTTAGGGGAGGAAGGGTTAACAGATGAGAAACCACTGAGTATCTGATGCAGTTGGATCATTCTTGAATAATTTTAAGAATCACTTTTTACTTAGCCTTTACCTATAGCTATAATAAAGAACTAAAACTAAGGTAAACCATCATTCTACATAATATAATGCAGAATTCCATAATCAAGCAACTCTGTGTATACTTCTTATTTTATTCTGTTCATTCTATTTATCTCTTGTGTATGAAACTCTAATAGTCAAGACAGCAACTGGAAAATTATGGTGTGAGAAGCATTTTGAAACTAATCTGAAACTCGGGGGAATTCCTCATATTTTCAGGTGTCATTTGTGTGCTCACTTAACATGTCATTATACATTGTAAAATGTTGTCATATTTTCTGAAACTTCTCAGGAAAAATCCAGAGCTCTGTGTTTGAGCTGATGCCATCTTTTTTTTATTCCAGTTAACCTTTAGTTGATACTAGTATAAGGATGAATCTGAAGAAATGTCAGGGTGTAAGGTCTTTTCTCAGTTCAGATTAGCTTACATGGTGACTTCATAGAATGGTTTTCTACTGCCTGAATTTTTCCTTTCATCTTTCTTTTAATTACAGAGGAATTGGAGCGAGTATTCACATGGCTTGGTCTGGATGTGAGGACTTACACAGATCTGACATCTCAGCAGATTAAAGATCTCATGCGAACTTGGCAGCATGTGCAAGATCACAAAGACAGGGACTGTTTTATATGTTGTATTCTATCTCATGGAGAGTCAGGAGCAATCTATGGCAAAGATGAGGAACTTGTATCAATCCGCATGATCATGTCCCACTTCACTGCTGAACAATGTCCACAGCTGGCTGAAAAACCCAAACTCTTCTTTATCCAAGCATGCCAGGGTAAAGAGATACAGCGTCCTGTCTATGTTGAAGCTGATGCACGAATTCCTGACTTACCTTCCATGCAACAGAGCATTTCTCCTTCTGAAAGTATTCCTGCAGAGGCTGATTTCCTCCTAGGCATGGCCACAATTGATGGATGTGTGTCTTTCCGGCACATTCAACAGGGTGCTTGGTATATTCAGGCCCTGTGCAGCAAGCTACAGTTGTTGGTACCAAGGTAAATACTTTGCTTAGCTCTTCTGTGAAAAAATGGGAGGAGCTTCCCCTTTTTTCTCCAAAGGCAAGTCACATAGGAACACTAACCCATGTCCTGAGGTAAACTAAATTAGTTATAGTGATGGTATGTTTGCTTACCACTAATAAATTTACATTAATACTGCTAGTACCATAGAGATAATCTGGAGAATGTGAAGTTGATTGTAAAAAACCTCAAAACCTCCCATCTGTACTCTTTAAGGCAGGGCCATCTTTTTCTTGAGTGCATTTAGGTTAAAATATTCCATTATTTTTCTTTACTGGTTGAATCAAGCAAGGCAGAGTAAGAAAAGGTCTTTTGTTTTTAATATGACTCAAATGAGAACAAAAGAAGAGAAATCTGGAGAAAAGAATATGTTTACTTTTTTGTGTTTTAAATGTTTACTGTGTCTTCTAGATGATCTGGGACATGTTAAATGGAATGCCATCTGCTCGTTAATAAGTAATTTTTAAATTTTTGCTCTCCTTCTGACTGCAGGGGTGAAGATATTTTATCAATTCTTACAGAAGTTAATGACGATGTGGGCAGACGTGTTGACCGCTGGGGGACAAAGAAACAGATGCCTCAACCAGCATATACCTTAAGAAGAAAATTTATATTCCCAATACCCAGAGACCCTCCTCCTTCACAGCAACATTGAAGCTTTTAAAATACATCCTTTTATCAGCACATCTCATTTAAATGCAATTCACCACACTACCTGTTTTAAAGCAGTTACCCAGAATCCTGAGGAACTGTTAGCTTCAAGGCAAGGCTTCACAATTTATTTTTTTTTCCAAACAAACTGTGAAACTGAAGGAGACACAATTCAAACAATCCATGTGCCAGCTGTTTACATCATTTATATACTCAGAGTTACCAGGGTTGGGAGAAGCATGCTTCTATCATGTTTAAACATTTTTGTACTTGCACAGACTGCAGATATAAAAGTGTTTTTCTGACAGCATAAGGGTTGCATGTAGCTTTCCATATCTAAACCAAGACTGCTAATAGTCTGGTTTAGGTTCATCATTCATTTTGCAGGCTAACAATTTTAAATCCTGCCTCTAAATACGCTAGCAATGTTCATAGAGAAAGACAAAGGTGGGAATGAAGAGGAGAAAGCTTAAGTAGTAAGTGGAAAAGGATTTCTTCCATCCCTAATTTAAATTACATTTAACTTAATGGAAAACCAGTTAACTACTGAAGTCATTAATTCATACCACAATGCACACTGATACCATCTAATGGCTAGCATAAACCTCATGTACAATGAGATCTTTCCAAAACTTGAGTAAAGACAAATTGCTGTGTAGTATTCCCTCTGTGAAACCATGTGAACTGTCATTTCCCCATCACCTCTGGGAAGAAAAGTTAGGGTAGAAGATCAGCATGCTATGAAATAGGGCATTCATCAGTGTGTCTGTATAGGTTTATCAGATTAATTAACTTTGTTAAGCATTACATTTTCTGATTATCATTTCTTGTTTTAAGTTCTAATGCAGCCATATGAGAAACAAGGCTCCTTGTTGCTTAAGATTCTAACAGAGCATTTTGTGACTTAACTAAAATAATGTCATGATATTTTGCTATGAGCATTTATTGTGTGTGTACGTCTGTGTCCTTCCTGTTTGTTACTGCAATAAAATAATACTTTTTAAGAGCTTGGTGAGATAAAAATTAGGTACTGGGGTAAGGCTTATCCTTGTTTCTGACTGGTCCCTGCACTTTGTTGAGCTGCATTAATCAGTGGGGTTTTAACTGCCTCAGGGTTTAAGCTGAAGTGAAACTTAGTTTATTTCAGCAAAACACTGATTACTAGCCATAATTAGAGTTAAGATTTGAGAGAGTACTGTCTAGTGCTGTTGGATGCAAGTTTTAGCTCGCACTATCCAGGATTTTTAGGAGGGGAGTTTTGCATCGTACAAAGCATTGAAATACAGTCAGTTTGCCAAAACATATTGGTCACTTTTTATCATGACAAATGGATAGTTGTGTGACCCATTGTATTTTGAGTCTTCTGAGTTAGTATGGCTGCCACACTTGAAAATGTTTCTATCTGTATCTGTGCCACAGATAGAAAATGTTTTGTCTGTTAGAATATATAACATTGTAATAGAATCATGATGTTTCTGTCTCGCAATTACTGTTCAGACGTGGTGCACTCTTGTTTTGTATGTTTAGGTAACAATTGAATTTTTATCAGTATGGAGTAAACACTGACAATAATTTTGAACTTGTTATGCGGGATCTTGTTTTCATTTTTAAGTTGAGAGAGAACATCATCATATTATCTTGCTTTCTCTGTGGAGACTTCTGCCTGGGTAATCTCCAGTTAAATCATAGGTAGGTAAAGGCAGTCAGAAGAGTCTAAGCTGACTTCTGCCTTGAGTTCCCTGGGGAGAGGGATCCACACTTGTGAAGTATAAAAAACTGGTGAGGTCTCCCTTGCTTGTAACACAGTTTGTTCACAGTTTACACTGGCATGATTTATACTACTCAGTGTGACTATTTCGCTTAGGTGTGTTGAGGGTTGTGTTTATGTGGCCGCACACTGTAATACTTGGGTGCACGCAGTGGTACTCTGTCAGAACGAGCTCAGAGGCAGGGCAGGCTTAGCACTATAACTGCAGCTGCCATTCAGCAGGGTTGTTGGATGCTTCTGCGTGATCTCCTGCAGTGTATTGCAACCTAGCAGTCTGAAAGTCTTGGGGGAGAGTGGGTGGTTTTTGGACAACTTGGATATTCATCACTGCCTGCTGTCCACACTGCACACCTTGAGTGTAACTCCAGTAATACAGAGCTGTGCCGGAAAGAAATCAGCCTCAAACAAAAAAAATGTTGTTGGTTTCTTTTGAGGCTTACTGATGACGTACAGAAGGATATGCACGTGTGCACGCTCTCCACCTACAGAATTAAAGCATTGTTACTTGTGCAACAGCTGTTTAGACAAGTTTAAGTGGAACTAGTGTAAAAAGAGTCTTTCTGTTGGGGAAGTTGGTATCTTGGGAAGATCATGATCTTAAAGTGGAATCTGTGACATCCACAAGTCTCTGGTATCCTGTCCCTCCTGACTGTCAGTTCTTGTACAGGAGCTGTGTATCCTGCCTTGTGCCAGTAGAGGCCACAGTCACTGCAGTTGCTGAGTAGTCAGTAGCCTCAGCATTTTCACTTCCTCAAGACCAGCCTTTCTGGGAAAGGTGAATTTTTGGCAGGCTGCTGTATAAGGAATAGATTGGGTTCCTGAGACAGTTCTAGAAGAAGCTGGAGGGGCAAAACCAGGGTGCAGGGGAGCTGAGGGAAATTGGAGAGACTTTTAAGTAAACAGAGGACAGGAATATTTTGTGAAAGGGCAAGAGAGGAAGAAATAAGAAGTGAAACAGTAAAGACAGAGAGGAAGAACAGTGCCAGGAGGGCTGGTCCTTGAAACTGCTGCATGATGGGAGAAGCCTCTATCTGGAAAGAGCTAGCCTGGGCTTGGTCTTGTCTGCAAATATTTGTCACACGCTGCGGATCACGGCATGCTGCTTCTTTCAAACTGCAATTGGAGTCTTGATTCAGTTAAGACTCAGAGGAATTGATGCAGGGAGACAGACACTGAGGCATGGGATGACATGGAGACAGAACCGTTTTGGACCTGATGATCAGATGGTGCTTGCGCTGTCCCCCTGTACTGCTCCCAGCCTTTGGATAAATGGACAACTTATGCCAGTGAAATAAGTCAGACATATTTTCTGGACTGTTACTAGGGTGTGCCTTTTGGAAGGAATTTGTGTGCTTCGTTCAATTGAAGGGTATGTCATAATTTTGAGTTTGTAAAGGTAGAAAGGTTCAAATCAATGAATGATTGTTTTCAGTGCAAAATGATAACAAATTTTGTCTCTCCTGTCTCTCTTCATAATGCTGACTTCACAAGTTTCAAAGAGTCTGGCGGTTTTAGTGATTGCTGATCGTATATTTCCTGCTACAAGGAAGATACTGGTGACCAGCAGACTGTGCTGGGAACCTTACCATTGAAGGCAGAGTTCTAGACTTCAAAGAGGATGAAAATGCCAAAAGTTAATTATTGCTTAAATTCCCTTGCAAAGGGGAAGGATCTTACATAAATCATTTCAAATGAAGGTTTACCCTTTCGGTTCCCTGTATTCGAGTACTGCTACTGAATTTGGTGCTGATAGTTGATTTTATTTTTTTTTTTAAATTTAAGAAATAATCTTCTATGAAAGTGCGTGTTAAAAATAGGCTAGGGTGATTTGGAGAGGGACTTCGGAGAAAGGAGGTAAGTTGTGGATGATCTTGTGACACAGCAGGACAGTGGGACTGAGATATTTTTAAATGGGAAGATATAATTGATTCACCCTTTCCTCACTGTGTTTTAATTAGGATTTGTGTATGGTAGCAAATATACTGAGCTGTGCTGTAGATGAGAAAGTCCTGGCTATGCTGCTTAGTGTGTCCCCTAAAATAAAAGCAAAACATGGTTACTTTTGTGGCTTGTTTAACAATTTCTCTCGCAAGCACTGTAATAATTTATTGAAAGCAGAACTGTGATAGGTGGAGTAGAGAACTGCTGCACTGTGACCACAGCTTATTACTTTGTTATACTTTGGTGAATCATGTGACAGTATAGACCATATAGTACAAAAGGCAATGCTTTTCCTGGAACTTCAGAGACTATGGCTGTCTCACTTTTTTTCAGAGTTGTTCCAGCAGTCCTCCACCCAGTCCTCCCATGTAAGTGATGTAAAATTATTATTA